CACAAGAAGACTTTTCTGCTTAGGATGCGATCAAAGCCTAATTGACTGCCTACAAAACCTGTTGCCGAGGGACAGAAGGGCAGCAAAGGAGCAGAGGGGTGGATGCGTGGCAATTCTTTTAAAAAAAGTCACATGCAATAACAGCATGGAATTCAGTTTATTCCCTTAACACCCATTATAGCTCCAGCAATATTGCACTGCTTTAAAGGAGTACATCACACACACATACACACCCCATTTCAGGCCCCATAGCATCTTCCTTCAGGGGAATCTTCTCAGCGAAAGGCGGCAGTAACCTCTAAAAAGAGGAACATTTGGAGGAACATCTGCCTTTGATTCAAAAGCTTCACGCGGACACTATCTTTGAAAGAAAGAACCGCCTTTAGACCTGCTTTTAGTAGGTCTTTGGTTCCATTTTTGTAACTTGTGTGATTCAGCCCCTAAGCAAAGCTCAAAGGCAGGCCGTCTTTGGGTCCATTCCTGTTACCACGGAGACGGGAAAAAGGACGGGCCATGGGGTGGAGGCTACCACGATGGGGCCCATCAGCCTTTTCTACTCGTCCGTAATAGAAGACGACACAACTGGGCTTTTAGCTAGGAAGGCTCTGCACCATTCCTCCAGTTGATACACGCAAACGAGGATGATGCTTTACAAAGATGGGGGGGAGATGTCCAAACTGGCCCAGGACTAGCTTTCCTTGCACTGAGGCCACCCCACCTCACCGGCAGCCATTAAGTCCACAAGATCCTTCCCATGTTGGAACCAGGAACCTCTGAGAAGAAAAAGGGCCCCCCTCCTATTTTACTAACCCCCATCAATACTACTTTTAGAGTCAAGGCACTCAGCCAAACAAAGCTGTCGACAAATCTTCTCAGCACCCCATCAAAGCTGAAAGACAGCGACAGCCATTCCTCATGGGGGCCTGTGGTGAGACAGGTCTGACAGGTTTTTGTACGATTAGAAAGCCTCTGAAACCTATTTGACCCTCCGAAGAAGTCCAGGAAAGCCTAGAGCCAGTAAGACGGCTTTTCAAAATGCGGCCCGTTCCCTGACTTTCTGCTGGGTTTAGTTTGTTTTTCTCAGCGAACAGAGCTGGAAATACCTGATCACAGGCAATACTGACATACAGTGGGGTCTTGACTTGAGATGGAAATACCTGACCACAGGATAATAATGACATAATAATCATTTGCCATCAAGTCTATTCTGACTTAACGATGATTCTTTTCAGGGTTTTCCAGGGAGAGAAGACTCAGAAGTGGTTTCCCATTCCCTTCCTTCTTCTGGGGGCAGTTCTGGGACTGTGCGCAGCTGGCTCGAGGCTACACAGGCTGGCTTTTCGAACTCCCAACCTCTGGCTCCAATTTGCCATCAAATCTATTCTGACTTAACGATAATTCTTTTCAGGGTTTTCCAGGGACTCAGAAATGGTTCCCCATTCCCTTCCTTCTTCTGGGGGCAGTTCTGGGACTGTGCGCAGCTGGCTCGAGGCTACACAGGCTAGCTATTCTTCCCGGAGGCTCGCTGGCTTTTCGAACTCCCAACCTCTGGCTCCACAGGCAGAGACCTAACCCACTGAGCTATCTAGCCAGTTATTACAGATAATAATGGTTTAAAGAGAGAGGGAGAAACTCTCCCATAGCATGTTGGCTCCTCTTAAAAACGATTATCCGTCTCTCCAGTTAATAGGAATCCAATTTTGTAAGAGGACCTAACAAACTACCGAGGCTCAGCCGAAACCTCTCCGGAGGCGGACGTCTCCGGTTACCTTTGAAGGCCGCGGGATGCACAAAAGAGGCAACTCAAGGGCCGTGGGAGAAAAAAGTCCCCGCTGTTACCCAGCGAAATGAAATACGAGCACGCCAGCCAGCACATCGAGGGGAGGTGATGGATATCAACATTCGAAGACAAGGCTGTAAAAGGATGTGAGCCTGGAATGGATCCTGACCATTTGGAGCGAAACGGGCATTTGTGAGTTTCACACTGTGCTGCCATAATCATTTTGGTGCTCCTGACGTTTCCTCCCAGCTGATGCTGTAAAGCAGGGGGGTGAAAAAACGGCAACTTAAGGCCAAGATTAGACACAGCAAATGGCAGGTCATAGTCATATCCATTCAACTGCCCTGTTCGAGGACAGCCAGCGGGGTTTTAGCACATGGAGTGCTGGGCTTACACCAAGGAAAGGTCATTTTGGTGGACTCTGGGGACGAGGGTGTAAATCCTCAACCCCTCGGTGTTCACGATGGGGCATAATAGTCCCAGAAGTGTTTGGAAATGCAAATAAAGGGGGGCAGGGAGGGAGAAAATTGGGTGTACCAGGTCATGGGGGGGAGAGATCCAGATCTCCCTAAAGCAAACTTTAAAAAAAAATACTGGAGAAGCAAAGCAAATACATAGGAGGCGCAAAAGATCTAGCTGATTATTAAGAAAGATGCAAATAACCCATTCATGGCTTCAAATTCTTAAGCAAAGAATTCGTCCTCCCAGTCCCGGGGCTCTTCACACACTTCACGCAACTGCACACACCTGTGCCGTTACCCGCAGAAGAAAGGGGAAGTTTTGTGCAAAAGATTGTTCTTGTCTGTACAGGAACACCATCGAGAGTGTTAAGGAATTGCTTCCGGTCCTTGTGAGCAAGAAGAATCTCTTGCTGGCTTTAAAACAAGCAAACACTTAACATCCCGTAAGAAGAGCACCACAACAAAATTGTGAAACGAAACCGCAACCCCTACAGAAGAGTCAAATTTACCCCCTGTCGTTCTCATCCACCACAATGGACTTTCTCAGATTTGCAAATGAGGATCCTGTTCCAGGAAAAAGCTTTAAAGGGAGCCTCCGTGGTGCAATAATCCACGATCAGGTGCATGGGCTGCTATTACACAAATCTCTCTCTCTCTCCCCCCTTTTGCATAGGTGATCAATCAACCGCCTAGCTGTGCAAAAGGGGCGAGGGGGGAGGCTAGCTGCACTGCATCCTTGTTGATATCTTGAAAAATTAATTGGATCAGGAAATTCCCAGTTGGCATGCACTCTTGTGAATTGGGAATAGAAAGAGGAGTCTGGAATCCTCACTCTTAACGACACAAGCCATTGGAGGTTTTGTAGGTATCCTCTCCTCTCGTCATGTAAAAGCAAATAAACAAAACATAATTCTGCACAGAGGTCACCCTTTCCCCCCCACCTTCTTCTTCTGTTCCGACCCGGAGTTAAAAGAAACGTTAAGAGATCATCATCATTTTCACCGTGTAGTAAATGTTTCGCAATGACTTCATTTTAAAAAAATCTGTTAAAGGTAGGTAGACATCTGGTGCCTTCCACATTGTTGTCATCCTCCTCCTCCTCCTTTTGGTTGGTACCTCCCAGATTCCCTAATTATTGTCTTTATTGGTTAGAAATGATGGAAGTTGCAAGCCAAAAGGACCGCGGGGCCGATGGTTGACAACCTCTGCATCAAAGAATTCCAAAATGGCATCATTTTTATTTATTTACTTATTTACTTATTTACTTATTTACTTATTTATTTATACCACGCCCCTCTAGACCATCATCCCCTTTTCGGCATATAGTATAACAATTATTTTGTAATCATGACATAAGAACTCTACCGTTCTGTTGGGATCCATGCTAACAGAACTGTAGAGGTTTTTTTATTGGGTCTTACATATAAATAGAGATGGGCACAAACCGGTTCGTCTGAGATCGTCCTTGTTCATCAACATGGCAGCACAAGGCGCTGCTGCTCTCCTCCCCTGCCTCCTCAGCCAATCAGCTACTCACCAGGCCCGTCTTGCTTGCTTTTTCCAACCTCCTCTGCTAATCTCCCAATCACAAGCAAGAGCACAGATTTCTCTGCACTGCCCTTTCATCTAAGTGGGCAATCAGCCAAGGGGGCGGGGCAGAGAAGCTTGAGCTGCTGCCGGGGATTGGCAGATCAGTTGAGGAGGTGCAGGAAGCTAGGATGATAGGCCTGGCAAGGGGATGATTGAGCCAGAGGAGGCAGCGGGAGGGGAGCAACAGCATCTGTGCTGCCGCCTTTACAAACTGGGACAAATTGGGACAAACCAGTTTGTGCCCCATCTCTATATATCAACCAGATTGTAGTACAGTCGTGCCCCACTTAACAATTACCTTGTACAACGATGAATCTGCTTCACAACGATGTTCTTCGCATTACGACGATCAAAACAGCTTTTTAATGGGTTTTTTTTCACTTTGCGACGATCGGTTTCCTGCTTCGGAAACTGATTCTTCGCATTATGATGATCAATCGTTAGGTTTTCAAAATGGTCACCGGCTGCTCAAAATGCCCCCTGCTGTTTTCTAGGACGGATTCCTCGCTTTAAAGGCACTGAAAATGGCCGCCATATGGAGGATCTTCGCTGGACGAGCAGGTATTCAGCCCATTGGAACGCATTGAACAGTTTTCAATGCATTTCAATGGGCTTTTTTATTTCACTTGACAACGTTTTCACTCTACAGCGATTTCGCTGGAACGAATTAAGGTCGTCAAGTGAGGCACCACTGTACTCAGGAACAGCTCTGAAAATAGGATGGATTTGACTGAAACTATAGGTTAGATTTTAAAAATCAGATTTATTTTGACGATTAAAAACCTGATTTTTAAAATTCGAATTGTGATTTAAATTCATTTGATTTTTTCAGGGTGGATTTGATTGAAACCATAGGTTAAATTTTAAAAAATCAGATTTTTTTTGACGATTAAAAACTGATTTTTAAAATTTGAATTGTGATTTAAATTCATTTGATTTTTTTAAAAAATAATGGATTTTTATCCACCCTGTCGGCAAAGAATGCTATATTTCTCCACCCCAGTTCACACAAGGAACAAGAGTGGTCCTATTTGATCGGCCAAGCATTCCACATTTTGTACCATCAACTCCAAAAAGATCTTGGCTTCTCACGTTTCAAGACAGCGCGGTCACAGCCGGGAACATTTCAAAATGGTGGCCAAGCCACCCCAAAGGTCCTGGCCACTCACCTTGGTGGTGTCATCATGTGACCGCTGGTACCGTTTCCAGCGGCAACCGTAAATCCCCGTCAGACATGATAAACACAATTGTGGCTCGTAGTATTGGAGGGGTTGGTGCTTCACCATGCTCTTCCGGGCGCCTCACCAGCCAGCTAAGAGAAACCCATCAGGCCTCCAGAGCACCCTAGAAAGGAAATGAGCAAATTGAGACAGTGAACGGATGTGGCAGATTTCAGAAAAACATCCAGTCAAGGTGGAATGGTGTGCCGTTAACGAGGGACAAGGCGCTCTTTGTCGGTTGGACACTGACACCCTGACATGTGGGCTCTTACAAATAAATTAACTCAAAGCCGCTTGCTTGATTCACACGTTTTCGTGATACCGTCTCTCACACCATGGCAAAAGGCCACTCAACGATGGAGGCCATTTTGAAACGGCAGCCACCAACCTCCTGTCACCAATGGCCACCGAAGGTCCACGGAGGCCATCTTGTAGAAGGAGCTCGCAGGCTGGCATCTTGCTGAAGGTTCTCCTTAGACAGGGAGCCACCCTGATTGTCCAGACGTTAGCAGTGGTGGGCAAACCGTGGAACATATGGAGATGTTACACAGAGGATATTTTTGAAGGCTGTGTGTGGAGCCCCCTTCCAGCTAAGCTGGCCCATTCCTGCTATTTTTCTACGCAGCTCAGCTATCCCCCAAATCCAAAATCCAGTCCATTATTTCACCCTACTGTTGTCTGCTCTGACCACAGACCACTCTCATGCAAAGATCTTGACCATTTCCTGCTATCTTAAAAAAGCAAAACAAGACAAAATTAGGTGATGCTAAGAACTCAGCAGAGAACATCTGCCTGCACAGGCACATCATGGTCTGTCTTCTTAATGCCCTATCTAAGAGAGTCTCTCTTTTTTTTGTACTGAGATCTGAGATTCACCAATGAAGGAAGCTGTTTAGTTCAATACTTATACTCCACTTCTCTGCTAAAAGAAATCCAAAGTGGCTTACACGCATCCATGCTAGCAGTTACAGATGGGCACGAAACTCAGATCAGGGGTTGATGCTGTTGTGCTCCCTTCCACCACCTCCCCGGCCAATGACCCACTCACCTTTTGGGAAGGCCATGCTCCTGTGAGAGACGGGTTGAATAGCTGAAGAAAAGGAGGTGAGGAGTGTACACCGGCTGATGAGTGGGGGATCCAGCCAAGAAGGGCAGGAGAAGGAAACGACAGGTTGTTGTTGTTTAGTCATTATGTCGTGTCACACGGGGTTGCCTGTCCTGCTTCCTTGTTCGAGTGGGCGATCCGTCAAGGAAGCGGGGCTGGGAAGGCCATGCTCCTGTCAGAGACGGGTTGAATAGCTGAAGAGGAGAGGAGTGGACACTGGCTGATGAGTGGGAGATCCAGCCAAGAAGGGCGCGAGAAGGGAACGCCAGGTTGTTGTTGTTGTTTAATCGTTTAGACGTGTCCGACTCTTCGTGACCCCATGGACCAGAGCATGCCAAGCCCTTCTGTGTTCCACTGCCTCCCGGAGTTTGGTACCAAATTCATGTTGGTCGCTTCGACGACCCTGTCCAGTCATCTCGTCCTCTGTCGTCCCCTTCTCCTCCTCTTGCCCTCACACTTTCCCAACATCAGGGTCTACCTGTAATTGTAGTTCTTTGCGTTGACCTAACTGAAGGGAGAGCATTGGTGCCAAAGTACATCTACCAGGGGGGAAGGCGTCTATGCTAATGTATTTTCCTTTGCTGCCGCAGAAGCTCTAGAATATTCCGACGAGGCTTCGCGTAGGCGCGGATTACCCATAGTGTGATTCGCAAAGGCCACAAAAAACAGCCACACAGCACGAGGGGTGCCACATGTATGAATCAGCACCTCAGTTCAGAGGTTCATGCCCATCTCTAGTAGCTCACCTCAGTTCAGAGGTGGGAGGTCATGCATTAAAAGAAAATGTGCAGCAAGTACTCTGAAGAAAAGATGAAAAATAACACTTTTTTTGGGTGTGATAAGGAACACCTAGGACTTGAGAAGAAAGGGTTAGCTGTTCGAAAAACAGCCACGCAGCACGAGGGGTGCCACATGTACGAACCAGCATGAACCTCAGTTCAGAGGTTCATGCCCAAAAAACAGCCACACAGCACGAGGGGTGCCACATGTATGAATCAGCACCTCAGTTCAGAGGTTCATGCCCATCTCTAGTAGCTCACCTCAGTTCAGAGGTGGGAGGTCATGCATTAAAAGAAAATGTGCAGCAAGTACTCTGAAGAAAAGATGAAAAATAACACTTTTTTTGGGTGTGATAAGGAACACCTAGGACTTGAGAAGAAAGGGTTAGCTGTTCTTCTAGGAAGCAAAGAGTATTTGATAAGACATGTGTCAAGTCTATTAAAGTCCTTTTGGGATCTGACGCCACCATTTTGTCTGTGTATCACAAGCAAGAAGCTGCAAATATTACTTTCTTGGACTACAGCTCCCAGAATCCCCCAGCGGTCACGCTGCCTCCAGGATTCTGGAAACGGCACTTTAAAATCATAATACTTCTTTGCAGCCTCGGCTCCAAAGAAGGCATTTCTCCCTAAGCCTGTGTTCGGGAATGCATGTAGCAGAGACCTCTGGAAAGAACATGGAGAACGCCTTGCGCGGGACTACAACACCCAGAATTCTCAAACAGCACCACCAGGAGGTGATTCCATAAACCAATGGCACGCTCTCTGAAAAAGGGGACATCTCTCCATCACAAAGACGTACCATGATTAACTGCAGAGCTACATCTGTGCAAAACCCCAGAGCCATCACACAACGAATTATATTATTAGAATGAGTACAAGGGTAATGCTTTGAAATGCAAAAGCCCTTCGTACGTATTATTTTGTTGCAGTCTTTATGGCAGCCCATCTAAGGGAGGGAGAAACGCTGTTGAGCTTGCCTGTTTCATGTCCCCTTCTACCTGGGGGCTGGCTAGATAGCTCAGTGAGTCAACTGTCCAAACATTCGGAGTTCGATTCCCCACTGTGCCTTCTGGGAGAAGAGCCAGCCTGGGTGACCTTGGGCCAGCTGCACAGTCCCAAAATGCCCTCAGAGGAAGAGAACGGCCAACCACCTCTGAGTCCTCTCTACTGGGAAAACTCTGAAAAGGGTTGCCATAAGTCAGAATTGATTTGACTGCACATGATTTTTTTAATCCACCTGGGAGGAGGCAGCATTCACATTTTGGACAGGTAGATTCACATCATGCCTCCCCAGCGGCAAATGCCAGTGTGTGGCTTAGCAACCTCCCGAGAGGACTGTTTTGCATCCTCTAAATGTCCAAACCAACAAAAGCACAGGAAACATCTTCACGTCTCAAACAGCCAGGAAAAGACCGGAGAATTCAAAGGGGAGGGTGTATGTTCTCTCAAGCTTCCCTCCTCTGCTCTCCATCATCCAGCAGACCCCGACCCACCTCCTACGGAAAACCATGGCTTGTCCCTCACCCAGCGTACGGCAAAGGGAACCCGTCACTTTTAACCCAGTAGCATCGCACCTTAGTGTGCAAAGCAGGCCACACACCTTCACAGCGGCCAGCCTGCTCAGGCAAAAACAGGAGTGGAGCAAACTCAGAGGGCACTCGAGAGGCTAACCTGGAGAAGAAGGAAAACTTTGAACACCTCAGAGAAAAGGATTGGTGTAAAAAAAAAAAAGGAACAATAAAGAAAATAAACCAAGAGGATTGAGCAGTCTAAGAGCAGGGGTGGAGCAGAGAACTTCTCTGACATCCTCCCTGGCTCTAACCACTAGGCACAAACAAGATCTCACCCGGAAATACTGCATCATGTCAGGACTTCAAAGCTCAGCCACCCTGAAGCAACCCAAAGCAGGCTGATCAAATCTTTCCACTCCATGCTTACCACTCCACACACACACATACACAAACCCCGGATCATGTGTTTTTCCCCCCAAAGCGAGGGGCTCAAACTTCCTTTTTGTTTGCAGCTGCTTCGCCTTCCAAGACTGGCCTCTTTACTCCCGCAGCATCTGCAGCTCAGCCCCAGGAGAACGCAGTTTATGAATGATTCAAGCCACCCTTGGTGGAGCATTACACGTACAGAAATAAAACAGGCAGCGAGACAAGGGAAAATGAATTATTCACATTTTTTGCAATGTGCACCGGTTTAAAAAAAATAACAACGCATACAAGAATTAATTTTTTTTAAAAAAGGAACAAGGAGGAGAAAGAACATCGCTCGTCAGATCATCCGAGCTTCATCTCTCAAGAGAGCCCAACGTTATTTTGCTGAATGATGCTGTAAACACATGTAAAAGCACACGTGTCTGAAAGAAGGAAGAGATGAACTCCTCTGAAGTACATTTCGTGATTTTCTGCACGAGCATCTAGAATGGTTGTTTCAAGAGTCTTTTTCTCACGGGGCACTCCAGTTGGGGGATCTCTTCTGCAGGAAGCTTGTCTATCCCCTTTTACCGTTTACCTCCTTTTCCTGATTAAAATTATGCTATATCCATGCGCTTTTTTTAATCAGCTGAGGGGTTTTACACCAAACCGAAAATCTCAGTTTTAGCTGCTGCACTTCCTTCCTGATTCATGATTGTTATTCATGTCTTTTCAGCTGCTGTGGGAGCTGATTTTCAAGGGAAAAGGTAAAGGTAAAGGTTCCCCTTGACAATTTTTGTCCAGTCGTGTTCGGCTCTAGGGGGCGGTGCTCATCCCCGTTTCCAAGCCATAGAGCCAGCGTTTGTCCGAAGACAATCTTCCGTGGTCACACGGCCAGTGCGACTTAGACACGGAACACTGTTACCTTCCCACCAAGGTGGTCCCTATTTATCTACTTGCATTTGCATGCTTTCGAACCGCTAGGTTGGCGGGAGCTGGGACAAGCGACGGGCGCTCACTCCGTCGCGTGAATTCGATCTTACGACTGCTTGGTCTTCTGACCCTGCAGCACAGGCTTCTGCGGTTTAGCCCGCAGCGCCACCACGTCCCTCTTTTCAAGGGAAAAGCAAGGTGTAAAGATTTGCGACAGCACGTTCTTGAAAAATGCCCATTAGGTCCAGCAAAGGCCCCTGAAAAGGCCTATGTATACATGTATGTATGTATGCATGCATGATTGTATGCATGTATCCATGCATTATTGCAAGTATGCATGCATGCATGACACTTCTAGACTGTCCATGTGGCCCAATGGTCACTA